GTGTTCTATACTCTAGTTCGCTGCGGAACGGGTGGGCGTGTCAGGCAGTATGAGTGTGTCACGCCGTCACAGCCGTTCTCTGCCTTCTTGTTGAAGTGCGCAATGCGACAAAAGTGGTAAGAAACCGAGTAATATAAATATGGACCGCTATGATGCCCAATATCACTTGCTCCGTTTTGATAACTTGGTTGAGAACGGGTTTGGCATAAGCGCGCCAACTCATCTGCGCCGACACGGGGGGGGCGCCCACGCCCAACCGTCCGCAGCGAACTACAGTATATTCTTCTCATGCATATCACGATGTTAGTGAATGGTTGCTGATCCAGAAGTATCGGCCTGAGTGCTGTACGACTGAGTACTGTGTGTGTTCCTTCACCATGTGCCGCACTTGGCTCTAGACAAGACCAACGGAGCACCTCTTTCTCAGGCAGCATCTTTGTTTCTTCAACTGCTCGTACCATTGCTCCGACCGCGAAGGATGGCAGATCGAAATGACCTCTTGAAATTTCTATCGTGTGGTTCGTCTTTGAGCACTGATTACTATACTGTCTTCTGTATTTACCTAGAAATCTCCTGGACAAGTTTTAGGGGTCTTTCGGACTGGCTGCATTCATACGACAAAGACATCCGCGTTATGGGGGTCAAATTCCCCACAGGGACCAGGTAGATATTGGGATATTTCTTATCGGCAGAAAGAAGAATCAAAGAGAAGATGTTAATCACTACACCGGCAGCAATTCCCGATAAATAGAAAAAAAAGTTACCCAATTCGAAACAAGAGCTATAAAGCAGAGAAATCTGATAGTGTCCTCGCCATGGCAGGGAGTGAAGGGTTGGGAGGGTCTATGCATTTCCTAACCAATTCTGATGGTGAAAACTGTGATGTTCCGACATTTATCTCCGAGAACTATTCTAGACCAAGAAGACGGGTTCTTATTGAGGACAAAGTCACGCTTGGCGCAATCGGGGCCAGCCCCTGTAGCCACGCTTTAATTTTTCAAAACCCGTACGAGCAACCCAGCCTATGCCATGTCAAAATGCCACGTCTACTCTGTTTCGGGGGTAAGGAATGTACAACAGTGCGAGGGTGTGGGTGCGGGAAGCGGGCGCAAAAAGCACAGCACATAGGCACCAATGCACCAATGATATTTGGGGAGGAGCAAGCTACGTAAAATGAAAAACTTGGGTACAATATTGCAGAGATGTTGCTCGATAAGCCCTCGTCCACTGTCTGGGAGAAGGCGAACCCCTCCA